TTCAAGCCACTGATAAGCTATTTAAACGTAATTAAAGCGTTTACTCGATAATTGATTCAAAATAGTGTATGTAGCATTATAATATTCGGTAATACATCAGGGATGTTACGAAAATCACATTTTGCCTTTTTGACCTAATATATGCACAATTGACTTTTGTTGACCCTTGTTGACTTTTGTTGACCAAAATTTGACGGGTATCACATTAATGACTGTAACTCTTGTTTTAAAATGATAATTATTATCATGATTTTTAGGCTGATACAAAATAATTCATAAATCTAAAGGCGTAAATCGTAGATTTGCCACAGGAGATCGTAGATCTATCAACGGAAAAGTATAGCGTGACGCTTTCTAGTGTTTCGGTGACGCAATGTGGCATATCAAAAGGCAGAGGCGACACTGATGGCATATCTGAAGGCAGAGGTTCTAGATCTGACCAATTCTTGAAAGATTTGGACTAAGAACAAGATCTGAGATGAGAAAAAACAACTAGAATCGTTCAGATCTAACCAGATCTGAGAAAGAAGCCCAAAGAAAAGTCATCAGAATCATGCCTTCGGAGATGGTAGGTGTGACATCCCCAAATTTCACGGCTAGAAAAGACCGATTTGTTTATGCTTTATTTGAAAATCAGAGTATATTTTTAAATAAATATATTGCGGAATTTATTCCCAGAAAAACATGATAAATATATTATCAAAGCATTTCCGAAGAAATGTATTTTGTTCATATTAAAACTTTGGGATGTCATCGTCAATATTGAAACATAAGCATAAACAGACCTTACATTTATTTACAGTAGTGATCTACATCTCATTTAAATCTCTCAGTGTAAAGTAGCTTCGTATCGACACCTATGATACAAATAAACTTAAGTGGGTCAGGTTGGGAAACCTGGTGAGTACATAGGGTTTTCAACCCACAATAATACAATTATTATATTTAATCATCAAACAATCAACCTAATTACCCATCCCCATTATCTTCTTTAATCTTAAGGATCTACCCTAAGAATCATCTATCCTTCATTCCTAAGGATTATCCTAAGGAATAGGCACGAAGTCCATCGCGGCCCGAGGTTTATACTACAAGCACTAACGAACGTCGATCCCCACATACTGATCCTATACAATGATCTTACAAGATCTAGCCTAAAGGATCGATATGAACAACAAACTGACGAAGATGCTTTTTACCCCCAGACTCACCCTATCCAGCATCGAACTTTGCCTAGTAGTGATCTGAATATCGTGAGGTATTTTACCCCCAGACTCACCCTATCCAGCATCGAACTTTGCCTAGCAGTGGTCTGAATATCGTGAGGTACTTTACCCCCAGACTCACCCTATCCAGCATCGAACTTTGCCTAGCAGTGGTCTGAATATCGTGAGGTACTTTACCCCCAGACTCACCCTATCCTAGTAGTGGTCTGAATATCGTGAGGTATTTTACCCCCAGACTCACCCTATCCAGCATCAAACTTTGCCTAGCAGTGGTCTGAATATCGTGAGGTATTTTACCCCCAGACTCACCCTATCCGGCATCGAACTTTGCCTAGCAGTGGTCTGAATATCGTGAACGGAAACGCTGACACATGAAGCTCGTCCGATCACTTCATAAAAGAAACGAAGACTCCAAAGCTCTTCAAAATAAAAAGTATAGGGAAAATACTAATAAAGTACTCTCGTACGCTCCCGTACCCCGATACACAATAGTGTCAAAAAGAAGAACTTTGTACATGATACTTATCGGATGAACACATAGTTCAAAAATACCTAATCCATACTCCCGGATTAATAACAAATAATTATGTCTATACTCTGCTAGATGACTAGATCATCTTAAACATCGATACCTCTCATCAATTTTTATTTCATCACACATCATCTAATTCATCTACCCATGTCTTACCCAACATATTTGTAGATATAAAATACATATACAGTTTAAATCAATTAAAACATGTATAAAATTTTTCATCCATCATAGATAGCAAGTATACAGATAATATGCACACATAGCATGTAATTTATATAAGATACTTCATATCTATGTGTAAGATGAAAATAATATGCACTCACATGATAAGACGATGATTGGACAGCACTTCGTCCCTTAAAACAATATTCTTCGATGAAACCGAGATGTTTTCTGAAAAACCGGGCTTCACGCGGGCAGAGTTTCGGCTCGAAAAACTCTTTTTCTTGGGAACTTTGGGCTTTCTTCGGGTGCTAGGGTCGTTCCCGAGGCTTCGGGGTGTTTTAAGATGGCTAGAGAGGGTATAGAGAGTGAAAGAGAGTGTGAATTAGAAACCATTCCCGGATACCCTCGATTTCTAATTATAGGGTGATTTTTGGCCCCTCACGTCATGAGCCAAGCATGCTCACATCGTGAGCTCGATCCTGCTCACCTCGTAGACCCTCCATCTGCGTTCTAGGCTTGAATAGTGTCTGTTTGACTCCTCACGTCGTGAGAATTGATGCTCACGTCGTGAGCCCGTTCCGTAGACTTGCTTTCTGCACTCTAGCCTTGAAAAGTGGCGTTTTGATCCTCACGTCGTGAGAATTAGTGCTCACGTCGTGAGCCCAGTCAGATTAGGCTTTCTGACACACGTCATGCTCTCAGACAGCTACAACTTCGGAAGGCCATAACTTTTGCATACGAGCTCTGTTTTTTACTTTCTTTATATCCACGCGAAGGTGGAGACGTACTCTACAACTTTCATTTAGAATCCTAAGTCTAAAAACTACTCTATCATAAACTCACTTTTTATGATTCCTGGTGTCGTGTCCGTTTTGTCGAGAAACTTTGACAGGTCATAACTTCTTCGTTATAACTCGGATTTCAACGTTCTTTATATGTATGGAAACCTTGTGACATACTACAACTTAGTTAAGATTATTTATTCTAAATAATCTTCTATCAAAAATTCATTTTTTTGACGCTTATTGTCTCAAAACTGACTAGCCCGAATCTGCGGACGTTACAGTAGGCGATTGTACGATGGTCGACCATCGATCTAAAGCGGAAAACACCTTAGTCAGATGGGTTTTTGCGATGATTCCAGATCCGAAACAAAAAAAACATGACTTAATCGACATTCCAACAATAGTCGTGGACATGGTGGCGACTTCAGTGACGAGTTTTCATCTTATCTCATCAGATTTGATGAAAATGATAACTTATAGTGGTCGTTGAAGAAGTTGATGTCGCCGAAGAAGGCAGCGGAGGAGAGAAGTGGCGATGGTGGGCCAACGTGATCGGTTTCAGTTCCACGGAGGCATCAATGGTCGTTTTTAGTGGCGGTTCACCATTTGATTCGTGGAGGTGGTTTCAAGATCCAGATCTGATGTAGATCCATTGAGATTTCATGTAGATCCAGTGAGAACTGATGTAAATCTGCTGACATTTGATGCACCTATGGTGTTTCATCAGAGATTGGAGATGACGGTAGTAGAAGTGAATGGATGAGACACTATCAAAAGTGAATTGAGAAAGGCAGTGGTGGTAGTGGAAAGTTGTTGGAGTAATATTGTTTGTCGGTGGTAGTGACGACATCGTTGGGTGTCATCGGAGGAAGGAATAAGCAAAAGATGAAAGAGTGTGTTTTAAAGTCTAGTGAAATGAAGAATATTATCATATCTATGTTGTATAAAAGTAATGTTGACCAAAATGTCCTTGTTGCTCTTTGACCATTTTATCATAAATAAAAAATCAAAATATTTGAAAATACGAAAATACCATAACGATAGCCTAAAAATAAACGCATGTTACGGTTCTTAATCTTTTTTTGTTATAATTTGATCTTATATATATATATATATATATATATATATATATATATATATATATATATATATATATTGAGATTCCGAAATAAATAGAGATTTTGAGATTCACATTCAGTCATATATATCTCATTTCCGCAGTAGTGCTTCGGCGTACTGGCGCAATAGGAGAGTTATAACCTTAAATGATTATTTAGTGTCGCTCGTTTGTTTTTTCCCTCGTCACCTTCCCCACTACCACAACATCCACCGCCACTGCCACTACTACCATCTCTGCTACCACCACTACTGACACATCCGTCACATATATCATCGCCATCTCTGCCACCACCACTTCCTCTACCACCAATTACCATAATCAAATATGATTACTTAATTTGTGAACAGACATATACTTATATCATTTATGATTAGGTATATATGTGTAAACATATATAATGATATATGATTATATATCTCTCTGCTATCTAATCATTTATGATTAGACATATACCACTGCTGCCAGTATGGCGGAGTATTATAGTGACAAATAAAAAATGTGGCTGTGGTTAAATCTCAAAATCTTTATTTTTTTTAAATCTCAAGTGAACCTTCTCTTTTATATATATATATATATATATATATATATATATATATATATATATATATATATATATATATATATATATATATATATATATGGGAAATCTTCAGAAAAGTCCCAAAATTTTTGGAAAAGTTACACTTTAGTCCCAAGATTTTTTTTTGAACGAAAAAGTCCTGAAAACCGGCAAAAATTTGCAGTTTGACCCTTTTGACCGGTTGAAACCGGTACCAAATTAATTTGGGACTATTTCGTAAATTAACCCAAAATATTGGGACTTTTCTTTAAACAAAAAATATTAGGATTTTTCTGTAAAAAAAAATATTATGACTTTTCTACAAACAAAACCCTTATTTTTATTATTATTATTATTATTATATATATATATATATATATATATATATATATATATATATTAAAGTTGTGAAGAAAAGGAACAGTGAACTTGCTATGTTTTGGTCGCTAATTGGCCTCCTCTTTTTAAGAATTGCAGTTTGCCCCCTGTGTTGATCGATGGCTGTTAATTAAAGGTCAAAGTTTGCTTTTTCATATTAAAAGTGGGAGGAGTGGATTAGTGTCAAGAACACGTGTTAAGTCCCTCTTTCACCTCCCCGGCTTCCAATCAGATGTCTACATCTTTTCCACCGTTTAAGAGTTCCTCGCTTTTAAACCTTCTTTCAATCGGTTTCTATAGGGTGGTAGACCATTCCACCGTCTCTCTCACAATCGTCGCAACTTATGGGCTTATGCTTCTAGATCGACGCCTCCGATTACCTTCTAATCGACCGAAGAGATCGACACATACTACTCCTTCCATGGCGGTTTAGGTAGAGGACCATGGTAGTCGGATTTTAGTCCAGTGAAGCAGGAACCACCAATTTCGTACTGCACTCGATCTTGAAGGTAAACTTCAAACCCTAGAATTGATAATTTCTATTGAGATCCTGAAATTTGTGATATTCGTCGTATATGATTGAATTTTTTTCCAGGCAGTTTATAATGGCCACTTTGAAGGAGGTTACAGAGCACAACATCTCCAGGCGCCGACAACCAACCTGTGGTTATAGACGACAAGGAGATTTGGAGGCGGAGCAGGATTTGTGATATTCTGAACCAACTCAGGGAAACCCAAATCGATTCGCCATCTTGATTTCCGACACCGTTTCCTCTGACTTCTTTCAATCAGAGCCAATTCCCCGTAAGTATTCAGCTTCATCTCCTTTTTATATTTGCTTCAGTGATTCCAGTTAAAGTCGTTGCCTCCTGCAATAGGAAGGGATTTCATTTGGGTTTATAACGCCTCACAGCTGATCCTCTTACCTGATCGGTGACTTGCTGACATCCGGAGACACTTTGTTGTGCATCTTCTATTCCACACTTTGGTTGTTGTCTCCTTCAGGTTTGTGCTCAAACTTGGTTGTGCGGTTTCTATTCCAGGTTTTCTGTGTATTTTTTTTATTCTTATTATGGTGTTATGATTTCGCACCCCAGGTGTTTGATGGAATGTGCCAGACAAAAAGGGAAATTCCTGCTAAGCAAACCCAATTTAAAAAACCTCAACAAATGTTGAAATCGGTCTGCTGATGCCGAAGCAGGTATGTGTGTGGCTAATTAGGTCCTTTAAAATTGAATTTGTAATTTATAAAGCTTCATATAGTGATTTTGATCCTTTTCATTATGTATTGGTTTTCGATTATGTTTGGGTGTTTCGCTTCTCAAGAATTTAACTATATAATTATATATTTTTGCACAAGAATTAAATTGTTCAATGAAGATATACACCTTATTAATAAACTTCAACTCTTAATTAATATTATTGGACGAAAACGGAGAGAGGGGGAATACAAACATATGGAAAATATGAGATAAGAAATATAGCACAAGAAATATTAGCATAAATATAAATATAAGCAAAATGATTAAATATGACAAAGGAAGATACAATGACGTGATTTAAAGGGCATAATTGTAATTACAACTAGAGAGGGGTGTTTAATAATGGAAGAAGAATATAATAAGTTGAAGTGCAAAGGTTTGGAGAGCTGATATAACCTGTGGTCACAACGCTTACCACTCAATTACAAAATTCATCTCATCTTCAGCTTCATCTTCATCAGGAATTAACACACTTGCGCGCTCAAAGGTATCTTTTCTTTTTTTGTTAATTAGTATCTTTGATTAATTTTTATTGATTTCTTATAACAGATTTTCATATTTAAAATAATTCACATGCATATTCAGGAGGATTACAGCAAAGAGTTTGAAGAAAAGAAGAGTGAACTCCAAGCTAAAGTCATTGTATTTTTTTTTAACAGGAAATCTGGCCAAACAGTTGCCATCATCATCCTACACAATTATTTTTTTTTAAAAATAGCTACAGCTCATGTTAAGGTAAAAAACACATCTATATATTATGAAAAGAATTAGACTTATCCAACTATCTCATTTACTCAATCAGGTTGCTATTTTTTTTTTGGTAAAGTAGAATCTTGACAGCCAACACTCATTATTCATAAGGCTGTGATAAACGAATAAATGAAAATACATTGCTATTTCTTGTATGTAACCCTTTCTTTTTTTAGTATTTATTTATTTATTTTTCATTTCAGGTGGTAACGGCAAGTTTTTTACCAGATAGTAATTTGTAATTGATTTCTCTGGTAATACACATGGTTGATCAAGTGGTTACCTATTGAATTGCTTATGGTGGGTTGGAACTAATTTTTATTCAAATGGTTGATCAAGTGGTTACCTATTAAATCAAGAAGTTCTTTATGCATTTATTGTACATTGCATTGTACTTTCTTTTAACTAAGAAGGTTGATGGTGGTATTGAACTATTGATGCTGTTTTGGTAGGCACTAACGACAGGTTTGTTTCATCTAATTCATGGCAAATTACACAGAATAGCAATGTACTTTATTGTGGATACCATTCACGCAATATACTTCGGATAATAGTAAATGGATGAAACACATGAACATACACACAAAACTAACACTTTCCGCCCGGCACAACGTGCGGAAAACCTTTCTAATTATTATTATTATTATTATTATTAAAAATATAAATAAGAATACTATTTTGTGAACTTGTTATTATTAATATTGTTACTAATACACATAAATGCATTTAAATAAAAAAAATAATATTAATGACATTGTTTAAGTGTGGAGGTGGAGGTGGAGGAGATGGTGATGCTTTTAGCATTGAAATCGTGAATGTCTGTTTGTATATTTTTACTTGGATATGATCATTTCACATTTGTTATTATTGTTTTCAATTCAGAATATTAATACTTAACAATTTAAAAGAAGTTGCATATTTGTAAAATTGTTTATAAATAGTTTAAGGTAAAGAGTTTCTCACTTTGTATATAAAATTGTTTAAGGTAGAAGAATTACTTTTCAAATCCAACAAATCCACTACAAACATCTACATAGGTAACCCATATCAAAATTCAAAAGTATTAATTACATATCTTGTTTAATAAAAAGTAATAGGAATCTTCAAAAGTATTAATCAAAATTCAAAAGTATTAATCCAAAAAACATATCCTATTACTTTTTATCAAGCAAGATATTGTAATTAATATTTTTGAATTTTGATATTAGCTACCTATATAGATGTTTGTAGTAGATCTGTTGGATTTGGAAAGTAATCATTCTACCTTAAACATTTTTATATATACAAAGTGAGAAATCATTCTACCTTAAACTATTTATAAACAATTTTACAAATATACAACTTCTTTTAACAATTGTTAAGTATTATTATTCTGAATTGAAAACAATAATAACAAAAGTGAAATGACCATATACAAAGTAAAAATATACAAGTAAACATTTATGATTTCAATGTTAAAAGCATCACCATCTCCTCCACCTCCACCCTTAAATAATGTCATTAGTATTATTTTTTCATTTAAATGCATTTATATGTATTAGTAACAATATTAATAATAACAAGTTCAAAAAATAGAATTCTTATTTACATTTTTAATAATAATAATAATAATAATAATAATAAGGGTTTTGTTTGTAGAAAAGTCATAATATTTTTGTTTACAGAAAAGTCCCAATATTTTGGGTTAGTTTACGAAATAGTCCAAAATTAATTTGGTACCGGTTTCAACCGGTCAAAAAGGGTCAAATTGCAAATTTTTGCCGGTTTTCAGGACTTTTTCGTTCAAAAAAAAGTCTTGGGACTAAAGTGTAACTTTTCCGAATATATATATATATATATATATATATATATATATATATATATATATATATATATATATATTCGATCATTTGATAATATAAATAAATCCAATATGTAGCAAACATGTAGCAAATGTATGTCTCCAAGAGACCGCACTTGTTTTGCTGCTTTTTATCTTACTTTTTATTCGTATTATTTGGAGTTATCAACAGGAACTAATCATTACTTTTTATATATATATAGAGATATATATATATATATATATATATATATATATATATATATATATATATATTATTACTACTTTATAATACATACATAATAAGAATTTCAAAAGTTTTTAAGACTTTCAAAAGTTTTTAAGACTAAAACCTTAAAAACAAGGAGGTGAAATTTAAGCCTTTGGATACAAATTAAATGGTGGAGATCAAAAACATGTTTGCAATCCAAATGAAACAAATTTAACCAATGAGAATGCATATATCACACTATATATATACCATATACCATGGACACCTCCTTAACCCTAATTTAAAACCCTTCTTTTTAAAAATTCTTTGTTACTCTTTCTTTTTAAATGTACCTAGCCACCCACTTTTGGATCCATCTTCCAAACCATCTTTTAAACCGCCGGAAACATCGACCATTACTGTAACCTCAGCCTTCCTTCTCTTCATTGTAACGCACAGCCACCACCTAGAATCTATCTTGCCGCCTGTTTTCACTGCTGTTGCCGATACTTCCACTATCACCACCACTTTCAACCCAAGAACACCATTGACCCACCACTGCTAAACCTCCAACAGAGCACAACCAACACCACCATAACTAAACCATAGATCTAAACAAGCCCATAAGATCCTAGATCTAAAACACCTCGCTATTCTCCGCCCCTAACAACACCAACCGATTGGAATACCTCACTGTCGGCAGCATCACAAATCATCAAAAGTCACCATATAAAGAAGTAAACATATATATGTATATGTTAGAAAATAAAATAACGTGAGCATTCATAGATCTATGTGTTACTTTACAGATTTTTGTGTTTGCGATATCTGTGACTGCTTTGTTTATGTTTTTTGTTTTGCAGGTGTAGAAGTATTAAAAAGAAGGCAGACTCTATAATTACTTGGTTCTTATTAAATGTATTTTTTGTTAATTAAAATAGCTTATGTAGTTTGATTTTTGTGTATTCCCTTTTGGATCTGTAGATTTTGACTTAAATAAGGAAACGCATTCACAATAGAAAATTGAAATTTTGTTTGAAATTGTTGTTTAGTGTTTTGGTTGTTTATTATATATTCATTTCATAACAAAACAAAACCTTTACAAATATACAAGTATTAATGTAAATCTTATTAAATTAAAAGTTTTTAAGAATAGGAATATTTATGTTTCCATTCAAAATATCGATATGGGAAGCATATAATCGTTTGACCTTTTAATGAATCTCATTTTGAATGTATATCTGAAAAGGAATGTTGAAACAACTTAACTATTTGTTATTATCTTGAGTATTTCTTAAATTTGCCTATTATTTATTTATTTTACTGAAATTTTTGCGTACATTTTCATATATATTGAGTTTTTCCTATGTTGCTTGTTCTGATATAAAATGAAAAAATAAAAATCAGAAATTACGTTGTTCCATGTAACTTCGATAATAACTACTTTAAAGCCCCGCTATATAGCTATGACTATGATTCATAATATCGATGAAAGTATTTGATAATATCGATGAAAGTATTTGAAGATAATAGTTAACACTTCAAAATATAAAACTAATTTCCTTTTTGTTTTAAAAATAAAATCACCTTTCATTACATGAGGTATCTTTATAAATAACTAGGACTTGGGTTTACAAGACGTTTTCATCTTTAATTTAACCAACAAATTTCATGTACATGCTTTTTAAATTAAGTCATAAACCGATTTTTTTGTATATATTAAACAATAAACAATTTAATTTAAATATAACAATCAACTCCATAAAAATAAAATAGCAATACATAACGTAAATTTTACTTTCATTTTACTTGATAAATTTACAACAAAACATATGAATTATTTACTTTATATTCAAATAAATTGTATTTTATCTTTTAATTCTACTAATAAATTTTGCATGTTCTTTTCTACACTAAATGATAATAAAAAATTATATTTTTATATATAAAAAAGAGAATACAAATGGTTTCCTAAATTATTATTATTTAATATGATACACTAATTAATATAAGATACTATACTATTTTTTTGGAATGATAATAAAATATTATCGTATTTATTATATCATAAAACCTATAAAAAAACAATATAAGTGGTAATTATGAAATTATATTTTATTCAAAAATAGTATTTCAATTAAAATCATAAATTATATCCAATTAAATTATATTAAAAAAGTTAATAAATGCGTGTTAACCATCAAACATTAAATTTTTTTTAATATAAAACTTTAAGTTTCATTATATTAAATTTTAAGGCAACCATAAATATTTTCATTAATTAAAACATAATACATATTATGTTTTTAAACTATTCACCGCTTGAACCGAACATACCCATAAGAACCATATATATTTACTTTTTAATGCAATTTAGTTTATTTTTAAATAACTTTATTTTATTTTAAACAAAAAACAACATTATTATTATTATTATTATTATTATTATTATTAACCAACTGGTCTAGATCAGTTGCCCACCAGGGTTGCCTGAATGGTTTTCCTTTGTGAGGTCTCAGGTTCGAGACTTCTTGGAGGCTTTTCCATAGGTGAAGCGGGTAAAGGGGTAATAGGGTAACTCCCCATGAGTGAAGGTTCGGAAAAGGCATACTGCCCTCTTGGATGTCACTGTACGACTCGAACCACTAATATAATCTAACTCTGCCGTGTACAAAAAACTATATTATTTTTAACACAAAAACAACGTATTTTTATTTTCAACAAAATCATATGCTTATGTATTTAAACTAATGTGTATGTATTATAAATATATTTGCCGATTCATTAAGTCCTTTTAGATATTACATGATTTGAAATGAAAATAATAGATTAAACATATGTATTCATTGACTTAAAAATGTATGCCGAAACAGAAGTAATAGACAGAAAATACTATTTGTTGCCCATCAAGAGACAACTAATCGTCCAAAAGAACAAATTGCTAGGATGAAACAAATGGAAATGAAACAATTTGACGTCCGTCAAAACCAAACTAATTTTCATCTAGAAATTAATAGCCGGAATAAAACAAATCGTCGCCGCTGCATCGCGCGGGTACCCCACTAGTATATATATATATATATATATATATTATATATATATAATATATATATATATATATATATAATTAATATATATAGGTAAGTTCAATTGAGAAAATAAAAAAAGTTGATAATAGGGGAATCATTTTTAGTCACTCATTTATTTTTGCCATAAAAGTCTCCGTTGTACCAGCGGAAATGGATAAAAAATACACATGTGTTTCCAACAAAACATGTTTACTTAAATTATGATAATCATTACCTTAATATATATATAAAAACATAGTTTTTTTTCGTTTTTTAATTTTTAAGAAGCTATTTTTATCGAAAAATGATTTTAAATATACCAAAATTCATGATTTTTTATTCTCTACAAATACAACATTCATATTGATATATTTTTAAGATAAAAT